GAGGCATTATTAGAAACGTACATTAATAACATATTGCCAATATATATATATTTATTTCTTTCTATATATAATTCACGCCTCTGAGATGAACAGTTGTTCAAATATTCACAAGAGCAGAAACAGGAAGTGATGTCAGTAACAGGAAGTGACGTCAAAGGGGAAGAGCAGGTAAACAGAGCGTCCAATGTCTAACAGCAGAGAGCAGAGAACAATCTATCAGTTTAATTAAGATTGTTTCAATAAGACCAGGAAGTTCCCCTCTGATGTCACTTCCTGTTTCACCTTGACTTCACCAAGCTCAGAAGAAAATGTGTGTTGTGACAAATGGGTAAAATTGTGTGTACTATGCCAAATTTCTTAAATATTAAGCTTTTTCTTCCACTTTTTGTATTTATAGAATATGCATGCTACAGAAGCTTTTTATAATGTTCCACAATCAGTTTAATACAAAGTATGAATAAGTTTAAACAGTACTCTCTGAATACACAACTTTTTCTTGGTTTACATCCTGACCACTTGTGAAACAACTTAGTGAAGACGGTGGCAGTGAAACCTGGTGGTACTGACCCACTCTGAGGTCTTTATTCTGCTTTCAGTGTCAGGCTTGGATAATAGTTGTTGGAGGTAAAGGTATTCCTAAAACCCACCCACTATCACTTCCACTCTCCATACTTGGGCTGAGAGGGTGACGAGCCAATGGCAGACAAGTCCAACAGTCACCCCACACCCATGAACGCGTGCAAAGACACAGAAAAAATAAAAACAGGGGAGGGCAGCCAGGTCATCTGACACCAAACAGAACCTAAAGACAAACTGGTGGCAGCCTGCAGCAACTGTTTCCTCCAACCAGAGCGTTACACAGCTTGTTGTAACCACTTCTGTTGGTCAGACATCGAGTCAGACAGAGCCGAGAAACAACAAAAAACTCTTTGTACCCATTTGATCTTGATAAACACGACAAAAGTTAATTATAACTCAACAAGTTGAGACTTTCGATCAGAAACAGCTGAAAACCGTCTTTAGCTTGTTATCAAGTTAGTTCAACGCTGATATTTTGGGATGTTGTCCCTTAACTCCACAGGCAGCACAGTGGATTAGTGGTTAGCATTGTTGCTTCACAGCAAGAAGGTTCTGGGTTCAAGTCTGGTTTGCTCAATAACAGAAATAAAAAGAAAGAAACTGAATCTCCACTTACTGTTTACTTAAAAGCTAACATTAGCATTGCAGCACAGCTAGCCACTACAGGAAGTTAATCTTTCGGCTGCTTCCTTCTGCAAGGGTTGCCACAGCGAACGAACTCATGGAAGATTTGGCAATTGTTTTACTTCTTCCTGATGCAACCTGGGCTCGAACCAGCAGTCCCAGAATTACCAGGCTGCAACACTTAATCACTGAGCTACCGCGGCCCAGGAAGTTCGCAAAGTAGCAGTTTAAAATTCCCATCAGCCATTGCTTTAGAAGTAAGGTCATGGTACATGTCTATCAAGCATTTATGTAGATAATCATTGTGCAGCGTGTTGTGTAGCTTCACTTGTTTTAGCACTGAAAATTATTTGACACCAAGAGAAGTTCCTTCGGTCAGCGTTTGAAAGGTTTGTAAAGATTCAAAGAAATGTACTTCGAGCTAGTATTTGAGTTTTTAAGTACTTTGGTACTGAAGCTGGAGGTTCCAGCTCGAGGTGAAAGTCTTTAAAGTCAGATGACACATGAGCATCTTTGATGAAATGATAACGGACAACAGTTTTTAAAGTGCATTATAGATCGGTGCTCAATAAAAACAGTCAACAGGATCGATCTCAGCCTCGTTATCTCGTGCACGTCAGGTGCACGTCTCCCTGCAGGCCATTGATGTTGGTGTTCTCTCCTTTACACAGCGTTCTGAGAAGGAAGATTAGTTTCAGTCTGACAACAAACCAGACGTTTCCTCAGACAATCAGACATATTGCATCACACTCCGCTGGTCGAGTCGAAGCTTCGACGACCTTTAAAGAAGCGTCCACCTCATCGAGGAGGAGAAACATGATGGACCATGCTGGATCTGCTCAACGTGCCCTGGAGGATCAAATCTGATGATGAGTCACCATCATCCTACTTATTAACCTTGTTCATATTTACTCTGCGTGAGCTTCAAGGCAACCAAAACCAGTTTAGCTTGTTTTCAATATAAACTGTGTAGAAGTGGCTGAATGTGACAGAGCAACCAGTTGCAGAGTAACAGGCAGTTTGTTGCTGCTGAGGCTTGTGGCTTCGACGTGTTTCTTGTTCTGCCCGCCTCGGGTCCATCCTCCTCCTATCACATTCTCAGACGTCACTTTAGGAGCTAACTTGCACAAGACTGCCACGCTGAAGACAGCAGGTTCTGAACCCTCGCTCTCTTGTTCACGTGGCCACGCAGCGGAAAAATGTATAGAGGAGGGGGAGGGGAGGGTGGGTTCTGTGAAGTGGAACAAAGGTCACAGCAGACTCCGTCAGGAGCTACCATCGCTGCACACAGCCTTCACAGAGCACGTCACACACCATGAATCTGACTTCACTGCGCGGGACTGTTCGAGTCAAACCAACTCATTAAGAGCCGAGGATGAAGTTAGAAACAAACCAGTAAGCATGCAGTGGAAACACCTCCCACCGTCAGCTGTTCATGACTGGTCTGAGCTGGTGGGGAGGGCAAAAAGTGTCAAACCTTAAATGAAACCTCGGTCCGTCCGCTCTGAGCAACTCCTCCAGTCATGACGGTCACATGTTGAAGCGCACAAAGATGGTGTCCGTTACACGGGATGAAAAGAGGAAGTTTTTATGGTGTCGCCTCAAGTTTACACCTGCCAGCTTCAAGCAGCCCCTCCTGCTGACACTTTAGTTACAACATGGTTCTGGTCTGTATTGGGAGAAAACCCATGTGTGCACAGGTAGGAGGTAAGTGCAGGTAAGATTGCCCTGGGAGGAAACCCTGTGACCTTCTGGATGAGAGGTGACAGCTCTAACCACTGCACCACAGTTCCACCCAGCTCTTTGGAGCCTGAGTCTTAATTTTAGTCTCTCACGTGATTCTTTGAAGTTTCTCTGAAACAGATTAGTGTTTGTTGAAATGACTTTGTGTGTCACACAAAAAGAGTTACAACAGGTCATCTGGACAGATTTTCTTGGTAGAAACGTTTTGTCTTTCATCCGAAACACTTCATCAGTCTGAGGCCTGCCAACCAAATAGCACCTATTTAAAAGTGGCTCAAGCCAGCCTGCTGTGGAATTCCAGAAACTAGCTTTTCACGTGTAAAAAGGGGACCATCGGTCTAACAACGGATCATCAGTGCATAACAATCGTTAAAGGCCTGATGGCCACTCGCTATTCACCGATAAACCGCTTTACACCGGTGTGATGTCGCGAGCGCCGCAGTATGGTCGCACTGACGGGAGCTCCGCTTTGACTCAAACTTTTTTGTTCTTGTTTCAACTTTTTTGGGCCTACACTGTACACTCACGCTATGGGTATGACCACAACGCACTTTTGGAGTTTTCTGTGTCGCTGCCTTGTCATCATGACATCATGCCATCCTACCATCGTGGTTCAGTTCCCGGCCCCCCTCCAGCTTCAGGCTCAGGCCTGTCATGGCCCCCCGTCTCCATGATCCTCCACCTGCCTGCACGGACCAAACTCAACAGACCTGTTCGGCTCCCCGGGAAAAACCTTTGATGTTCTCTGTCTGCTGGACCAAGTTTTGGAGGGCAGTCCGAGGGCAGCTGCTGCGGTCATTGTTACCATCAAGGTGCTAACGGGACTTGCTAACAAGACCATGCCACTAACAGAACCATGCTGCTGAAAGAACCTCGCTGCTAACTAGGGATGCATGATATTATCAGCATGGTATAGGTATCAGTCGATATTAGCCTTAAAGTTCAATATCGGACATTCCATTAAAATAACTCGCCAATATAAAAGGCGCTCTTTTCGCCTGAAGCGGCTGCACAACGCAATGACGTCACGAGCGCCTACCTGATCTCACGGCGGAGAGTAAAATTCAAAATGTTGGTAATATTGTGGAAGTTTTATTTTTCGTTTGTGAGGATGTTGGATTCCGAAGATTTATGGACTACATTGAGCCTCTCTACATCGTCCCCAGTCAGAGATATTTTTCCGACGTAACGTTACCCAAGTTACAAGCAAGCTTTGAACTTAAAACTTTGTACTTAAAACTTTGAACTTAAAACTTTGAACTTAAAAGGCTGTCCTTCATGCACAGGAGTGCAGAGGATCCCACGCTGCAGCTAGACACCCAGACCAAGCCTCCACAAGTAAGACAGCATCGCAGGTGACTAATGGTAATAAATAACATTTAACACTTTTCATTTAATATAAGTTAAAGTGCTATGTAAATGATATGGCTGTTACTGAATATAGGTCACCAGCTCTTACAGCTGTTAAACATTTTTTGTAGCAAATAAGGCTAATAAATAAGAGGGATATGTTCTGACAAAGGAACGTATATAAAATATCAGTATCGGTTATCAGCCAAATACCTTTTAATAAATCAGATATCGGCCAAAAATCCAATAATGTGCATCCCTACTGCTAACAGAATCACAGTGTAGATGTGTTTCTTTTTCACTCTCTCTCCCTCTCCCTCTCTCCCTCTCCCTCTCTCTCTCTCTCTTTCCCTCTCTCTCTCCCTCTCTCTCCCTCTCTCTCCCCCTCTCTCTCCCTCTCACACACAATTAGTTAAAGGTCATCTGGGCAGATTTTTCATGGTAGAAAAGTCTTTCATCTGAAAGACTTGCTTTAACTCTTTTTTTGTGATTTATGTGCCTGGAGGACTGAGCTTACATCAGGACTTGGGTCCTTATCTGTGGTGTGCTTTGAAAGGACTTGCGTATGAGCCGTGTGTTTTGAAAACACCAAGTCTTTCTGTCGGCTGACAGACACAAAGACTCATGCTGGTATTCTTAAATGGCAAAAGTCCTCCTGTCCCCAAAGGAGAACCCATGATTGTACCTGCATCATTTTACTGACCGCTAACTGCAGGACAAGAAGAAATATTAGTTACCCTTGACTGGCACTCCACACACATTTGTGTCAAGAGGTTGACTCTAAAGGTGCATTCACACCAGCCCTGTTTAGTCCGCTTTAATCGAACTCTAGCTCATTTTCCTAGAAAGTCCGGTTCGTTTAGGGAGGTGTGAACGCGCCATCGAACTCTGTCACGGAACAAAAAGGCGAACTCTGGCCCGGGCTAAAACCTAGGTCTCGGTCCGGAAGAAGAGAACTCCAGCGCGTTTCGAGTGCAGTGTGAATGTAAACAGACCGGACCCGCTCCACAGGGTAAACAAACACGCATTTCTCTGACCTTATATGGAGCCGTCAGCTGTCTTGTGTGAAAAACAATATTCTCCATGGTCTTCTGTCTCATCCTCTGCTCATGCTGAGTCCATTTTTGAAAAATGACAAAATATAATTCCTAAAACTGCTAAAACTTGATGCCACTTCGTTTTTGTTTTTATTTACAGAAGAAGAAGAAAACGTGTCTTCAGAGGTTTTTGTGTCGTTTCTTTCAGTAGTTCTTGGTGCAGCGCCCCCACAGGCGAGCGGGGGAACAGGTTGGTTCAACAGGTTGACTCGACTGCACAGTGCAGTGTGAATGCAAACGCACCAGCTCAAATGTAAACAAAAGGTCATGAATATTGGTCCCGAACCAAACAGAGTCTACCGGACTATCTGATGTGAAAACGACCTAAAATGCTCGCAGCATTAGGTCCATGCACCTACAGAGAGCTTTTATACAAAGCAATGTGGTCTGGACGTGCTGGCTGGTTGGAAGGTTCAGTTCTGAAGCTCCATGAAACACCTGGTGGACCACTAGTCCGAGGGAACTTTAGGAGAAAACTGAAACTTGCACTCTGAATGAATTTTAATCAAGTGCAACATTCTTTTGTCAGCTGCTGCTTTTACACACCGAGCCAAACGTGTGGCCGTCACCTGGAGTTGTTTGGACTTAACGACAGTCTGCTGAAGCCAGATACGTTCTGGAACCAGACCCCAGCAGCATACAGACCTCATAAAACCAGACAGAAAAAAAACTCACATCTGGCTTTTAAAGGAAATAGGAACTGCCACTTCCTGAGGCGAGTCATACACTTGACAGAAACAGAACCTAAACCCATCTGCAGCTGTCGTTTTCCCAGAGCCCAGTTTCTGTCTGAGATGGATCTCATGTGGACCGGAGAGATTTTACCAGAAACCCAATAATGGTCAGTCAGGTCATCTGAACAGAAACCTGACATTTTACCAGAAACTACAGACTGACAGATTCATTTTAAACAACTCCTTTGACTATGTCTGTCCTAAATTAATTTGTTTTCAAAGTTGTTCTCCTAGAGTTTCTATTATTGATCATCATCTCCATCTTCTTCCAGTTATCTGTAGTCGGCTCGTGAAGGAAGCAGGTCCAGGAGAGAAACCCAGACCTCCCTCTCCCCAGAGACACATTCTAGTAGGGGTGCAGAAAAAAAAAAAATAATAAAATCGATTTTTTTTTAAAAGAATCTAGATTCTTAGTCTTGGCGATTCTGAATCGTTTCTAAAGGTCCATAAATCGATTATAAAATGCATTTAAGTTTTATATTTTTCGGCTCCTACTCCCCGTTCGGCCGCCATAGAATTGAGCCATGTAGGCCACCGTACAGCAAGCTAGTTAGCCAGCTCTCTTTATCTGAATGGAGCCTGCTAGCATGGAGGAGGGAGACAGCACGATTCAACACGCTGCTTCAGCTTTAAAAATCATTTCAGATCCTGCAATGTTCCGGGGGAAGACGGAGCATCACAAGAGCACAGTTGCTTACAAGAAGTGTAAAATAAAATTGCAGTACAGTATTTTGGAAATACAACAAAATTCATGGAAGATGAAAGCGAAGCAGCCGACCAGTGAACTCTAAAACAAACTTCCAGGCTTCTCTCAAAGGCTGTGAAGAGTTCCCTCTCCATCTCCTGCTGTATCACAAAGGATTTATGAGCAGACAGCTCAGTGGAAGGTGAGAGGTTCAGGTTTATTTTTAATACGCTGGATTCAATGTACGCTATTCCTTCATGTAATTATTATTTTTTGCAATAAAGCAGTGCCACAACTTCACCATGAAACAACGAATGGGAGAAGCTCTGATGCAGCTGCAGCTCAAAGGTAATTGTTATTTCTCATATTATACTAAAACTTATAGACAAGTTATACAACAAACTTAATGCAATTTGTCTTTTTAACAGGTTGAAGAGATTAGACGCATCGCCTGGAGCCAGTTCTAAATTATACAGTTTATGATTTTTAAATTACAGTTCAGAAGAGTTTTTGTGCAAACTTGCACAGGTTTTGAAATTTTGTTAAAGATTTACTAAATATGAATCAATATGGTTGAAACTGTGAAGTCGGTATATTTCATATTAGGTTAAGTTTTGAAAATATAACAAAAGTTAGAGCAATATGGTTAAAATAACTGTGAAGTCTGTATTTTATGTTGAATTAAAGTTTAATATACTATGGTAGGCTGAAGTCTGTTTACTTTTGTATTTGTATATTGTGAATTATTTGTCTGTGATGGACAGGAGACGTGTCCAGGTGTCCCCTGCCTCTCACACAGTGATGGCTGATATGGGCACCAGTGACACCCGTGAATCGAAAAGGAAGAAGTGGATAAAGATGGATGGATGAATTATTTGTTCCTAGATTTTTATTTTATTTATCTATTTATTTAAATCAGGCAACTAAGCTAACCTAATACTGGTAATTTAAGTTACAGAATTTTATGCACTCCTACAAACCGGATTCCAAAAAAGTTGGGGCACTAAACAAATTGTGAATAAAAACTTAATGCAATGATGTGGAGATGGCAAATGTCAATATTTTATTCGTAATATAACATAGATGACAGATCAAAAGTTTAATCTGAGTAAATGTAACATTTTAAAGGAAAAATATGTTGATTCAAAATTTCACAGTGTCAACAAATCCCAAAAAAGTTGGGACAAGTAGCAATAAGTGGCTGGAAAAAGGAAATTGAGCACATAACGAACAGCTGGAAGACCAATTAACACTAATTAGGTCAATTGACAACATGATTGGGTATAAAAAGAGCTTCTCAGAGTGTCAGTGTCTCTCAGAAGCCAAGATGGTAAGAGGATCACCAATTCCACCATTGTTGCGCAGAAAGATAGTGCAGCAATACCAGAATGGTGTTACCCAGCGTAAAATAGCAAAGACTTTTAAGTTATCATCATCAACCGTGCATAACATCATCAAAAGATTCAGA